AAAGGCCATATTATCAGGAAGATCAAAGACTAATACCTGTTGATAAAATGTTAAACGAAGTCACAAATTAATAAGGTTTCCAAATTCCACCACTTATCGTAAAAGAAAAAATATCAATTCAGCATTAAAGAGTCCAAAGATGGCCGTAAGTCATTTAAGTTTTACTGAGTTAATTTTTGGTCAGCGGTGCATCCATCTATCTGGGTATTCATTCCAACCTGTTCTTTAGCATTTCTGGCAGTTTATAAATTTCGATAACCACTTATCCTTTCGGGTCGCTGACACAGACTCGTCAGATGGTATCAGCAACGTTTCCAATCCTGTGCCCAATGGAATGATGGATTCCGTAAGCAGCACTTCGCACAGAGCACCTTCTACTTCCTCCAATAAGGACTCATATTCTTCCTCAGAATTTCTTAAGCCTGCAATAAGGCCAAAGCTTTAGCCTGTTGTAACATCAGTCGAATGACAGTCACTCTTTCGCTGACAGTCTTTCATTCGATAATTCTGTAAAAGAGGTTGGGTTTCACCAGAGCACCTGCACCGGCATGAGCGCATGTCTTGAAGTTGACATCTGTGTAGAATAGCTTTCACCCGCTGAGGTTCAGAATTTTGCAGCCCTGGAACTTTGTTGACGACATTCCAACTATGTAGAGTTGGTACCTTGCGGCCTCCCTCAAGTAACTCCTGTTTTTTCCTTCTGAGTGACGATGTATTCCAATTTCCGATTGTAAGCTCCCACTGGCGACGTCTGCCTCGTGGAGCCTTTTCTTATGTGCTATAATGGCATTGCGCTATCTGCCTCCTCCATTCAGTACAGCTAGCGGCAAAAGTGCTGGCATCGTCGTCTTCTTCTTGTCCATATTAACCATCTGTTGCTGAGCTGTTGCTCCCGCCACCGCCAGAAGGCAGGAAGCAGGTTCCAATCGCGGACTTTTCGCAGTTCTCAGTTTCCCAATGGCCTGCGCGGCCCGTGGTTACTCGAGCATTACGATATAACGTTCGATAGCGACAACATCGCGAGGGAAGATGGCTAAATGTCATGGAAAAACTCGCCACTCTATATAACCTCTATATAACCATCTTCAATCTCATCAGCGCTTAGGACCGGCAGTGGTGCTTGTCCCATTGCATATCTGGTCCCACGTCAAAGTGTGTCAAAGCTGAGAAAAGTAAGAAAATAGAATTGATACATGTTTGAAGTATTAAAGAGAACTTTCAGGCAAGCATTTTAATAATGTGACTGTGCTGAAAGAGTTTCTCTATGTTTATTATAAATGTAATCTCTCTACGAGAAGAATAAATTCAGGGGTATGAGGCGAAGACTGCAAATTTTTAGCCTACAGAAAGCACGATGGAAATATTTTTTTCAGTCACTGAGCTGATGAACAAGTCAAATTTGCGCAGACTGCAGAGCATCAGTCTCAGAAACTAGACTTTCTGGACTCGTGTTTCGGTCAGGTCATTAACCCATCTTGCTCTTGAGGTTGATGAATGAATGCCACCTTGGTGAAAGACAACAGAAGGATGCACACTACGGTGGTTAGCAAGACATGGCTTAGGAATGACAACAAAATTGTAGCTTTTTCATAAAAAAAGCAAACATTAGCATCGCACCATAAACTTCTTTAATGAAGAATTCCATGAATGGTATGTACAGTAATATGTGGTATGTGAACAGTAACGGAATTTCATTTTCATTGAGCAAAGTATCACATTTATGGCGTATTGGTTCCTCTTACGGTCATTCGTACAGTATTCCACTTTTGAATATAAAACAATATAAATCAGATGATCAGTTGTATGCGAGTAACACTGGAAGAACTTCATGACATTTGTTGTGATTAACTATGATTAAAGGGCGAACAATTATGGCATAGGCGCTTCTCTCCATAGCGTCTTTGACTTCAGAACTTTTCTCCATCTTCATAGACTTGTTTATAGGTAAGTACGGCAGCAGTAAAGGACGCCTACTTAAAAGCCGGCATCACCCCATTCCTGCTGACCCCAAACTTTAAACAGCCGTCGAAAACTCACCACGACATCGTCACTGGTAACTGAAAGTAAACAAACAATTAATTGTTGAATGTAACAAATGTTTAGGAATGGAAGCTGGTTTACTCTACACTGCCAGAGGCAGAAGACCTCTGAAAGAAAATGACGTCGCCTCAGTTCCAGGATTATGCCCGCAGTTGTTTATGGAGTTGAACGGTACCGTAATGACCTCTGATCTTCAGGTGAGCTCGTAGCTTATAACAAGAAAATATTATTGCAAGTCACCTTCAGACGCAACATAAATGATGTGATGAATGAAACGACTAATTTACAGTTTGGATTTTCTACACTTCATCAGTTAATCGATTCGAATCACTCATACTCAGCGACGCCGCTGAATAAACAAAAATATAGTTATATTAATTGAACTACATGTGAACCTGTTTCATCTAATTCATGTGGCCATCAACTACATATGACAAATGGCAATTTATTCGAGTTAATATTTTTCGCATCGGTGCACTAGATTAAATTTTTTATGTTTCATAGTAGCAGGAACTCTCCAACACTATTTCAATCGTTTACGACCAGGGGTGAATGATTGGTTATTTTACACGGCCCTTTTGCCACAAATTAGGATAGAACCTGACATGTCCGCAAACGATTCGACGTTGCGGCTAAAAAAATACGGACTTGTCGCAGCGTCAGTGATAATGCTTTTTAACCCAAAAGTGTTATTAAATTTTGCACATTTTGTTTTATAATAATTACCGCCATTTGGCATCAGTACTGCCTTGGGCAATAGCTAAGTACTTCGTTACACTTGCTTTTTTCGACAATGTTGTCTGGTCCTTTGCTTCCAGATGCCTAGGAGGACAATTCAAACAAATCATGACTCCGCCGAATTTGAGCACCTGCTGTGTTTGGATACAATACAGAATTACAAAGTACCTCAGCCATGTGCGTAAGAAAATTCAAAATTGTGGCTCAAGCAAAACACGTCCTCCTGCTACTCTGACACTGCTTTGTTATCTGAAGGCGTCATTTAATATTAAACCTTTTAATTTACTCCAATGCCATCGTAGGGAAAAATAATGCATGTTTTGCTCCAGGTTACAAAAAAATATGGCACCACCCTTCCCCACCACTGTTTCAGTTGTATTGTTCATTTCTGTCATCTGAAAATCAGCTAGTTAACGAATGTAGCCTGCCACTTCTTTTCTTGGCAACTTCAATTCTTCCATTTTATGCCATATGTTTTAGCAGACAAGCTGGAAATTGTTCTCTTTAAATACTGTTCATTGGATATTCCTTGTGTATACTTAAGCAGTTTTCATTCTATCAAGTGAAGTTTTATTTAAATTCAGATATCTTGCATCTGCGGATATTTATTTTAGGATACTAGTCTCTTCAGTTATCACTGTTTCTTGAAAAGTAAATACCAATTTGGGTTTTTGAAGCTCCTTTGCTTCAAATAAAAATTCTGCCCCGGCTTAAATCGGTTTGCTAGTGATTAATACCCTCACCTGTATTAATACAACGTTTCTGTTTCTTTGCATGGTCACCAGAAGAAGAGAGAACGCACAATTAAGCTGTTCTTGTTTCATATTCCTTCATACAGGAGATATTTGCCAGCAGCCAGGGGCTAAGCAGAGCCACATGTTACATATGTGTTATATCCAAAAATTTTTGCACAAAAGCTGGCTGCATCCAAGACATAAGCTTTGTGCTACTGTTTTAGTAGCATTTTTTGAACTTCAGTTGGTCCATGTTGAGTCGTTTTGAGAAATGAACACTAGTGTTGTTGATGCAGTCTTCAGCTGATACACCTGTTTCAGATCCATACCCAAGTTTGGTATTTTTTTATGTGCTCCACACAAAATTTTACATCGTTTTCATCCAGGGGAAAAACAGCATCAATATTTTCTGGTTCTTCCAATCTAAGAATAATGGGTCTGGACGATTGGTCAAAGGCACGATCAATGAATATAAAGTGGTCAAAATAGTTTGCGTATTGGCCATCTACAAGCACGCTCACTAAGTAGCATCGATAATACGTAATCATTTCTCAGTCTGGGCTTGTTTCCTATGTCTATCGCTGCTACATCGTCTTTAGACGCTACCGTACCTTTGAGGTCGTCGGTGTTAGCCGAAGCGGATCAACCTGCGGCAATATGATGAATCACTTTCGTTCTACTGTCACACATTGTGCATCTATGTGACATGTTTTCCATTATCATGTATTTCTTATGGTCCTTCGTATCACTTATCACTATCACTTATCACTTATCACGTAACACGTAACACTTATCACGATCACTTATCACGTATCACTTTTCACTTGTCCGTGAAACTTAGCCACCTGCTTTTCATGGTATTGCAGCCATCGAACGTCATACCGGCTCGGACGTAGCTCGATTGACCAACGGCCGCGCAGGCTGTTGGCGAATTGAGGAAAGCCGCGGAAAGTACGCGACCAGAACCTACTCATTGCCCTCCCAGTCGGGGGCGTAGCAGCACAACGACGGCTGACAAAGACCAACGGAACGACGACGAAGATACCAGTCAGCAACGGAGTCCCTAATCATTTTGAACGGAGGAGGCAGACAGCGAAGCCATTATAGCACGTCAGAAAAAGGTCCACGAGAACGACATCACCAATGGGAGCTAAAAGTCGCAAATTGGAACATATCGCTATTCAGAGGAAAAGAACAAGAGTTAGTTGATGAGGCCATAAATACCAACTCGACATTGTTGGACTCTCGTCAACAAAACGCCCAGCTCTGGACTCCTGAACTTCAATGGATGGAAGCTGTTCTACTCAGGCGTCGATATCAAGACTCGCGCTCAGGCAGGTGTTGGCGTTCTGGTAGAACCCAACCTTGCCGATGGAATAATCGATTGGAAGCCTATCAGCGGAAGGG